TCTTCCACTGCACAGTACCAACGTTGAGCAGAGTTCGCAGAGTAAACCCATGACCCATGTACATTGAGCTTCCGCTCACGGAGTTGACATGAACTTGTTGACCTGGTGTGGGCTTCAAGCCCAAGATTTTTCATCTGGCATATGGTCTGAGGAGCTGGCACTCTGGAAGTTTCTGCTGCTTGCGGCCTTTGGGTGGGCGTGCGGACAGCTTGCCAGCTGCACACGCCGCCAGCTGCTGAGGCGGCGACAATACGCCGTGTCATGGACCAACTCGCGAGGGCAAGCTTCAGGCCGCAGCCATGCTCAGATTGACGTAGCGCAGCCTACGATTTCGGGGCCCGCTCCACTCACGTATTCAGGTCCTACGTAACCCGCACACGCCTCCGACTCTGCAGCCCTTGCTTCCACCAGGCGAAGCTCCATTTCCTACGCGGCTACCAAGCGTCCAGGCCGGCGCTGTGCACGTATGTGCGTGCTACTGTCCTTTTCGGCAAGGGTGATCTTCAGCAACGACAGCTCTTGTTCCACAGCATGAGGCCTGTCCTGCTGCGTAATCTCGCGAACTGAAACAATGAACGAACACTGGCAGTGCCCTTCAGGCCACGGTGGCCCAACAACGGGGCGACCAAGAACATGCACAGGAATTTGATTGCGCCCCACACCATGTTGCTTGTAGATACCTGGCCACAAACTGACATACACAGAAACATAAATACACAGACATATATACTTAACCTTGGCACTGACCAAGCTGACGATGAAAGGACGCACAAAACAACAGGACCAACAAACAGCAGCAGCAACAAACAAACAAACAAACAAATAAAATAGGGGCAAACCCTTTGGATATGTCCAGGGGATTGCAGGAAAAATCGGCACAAAAAACCTCCATGGAAAAATGTGTTTTTGTATGCCACCACGCCCGCAGCAAGAAAGCAACTTGCAAAATGTTTGTACTGTGGTTGATAAAGGAAAAGTTCGGGTTATGAGTTTCAGCCGTCCAAGGTAATAAACCTGCGTTATCGGCGAGTGAGCGAAGCGACTCCAAAAATGCACAAACTCCGTGTCATGCCATGGTCACATGCGAAAAAAGCATCTATTGTCATAAGAGGGATCTACCCAGCAATGCTGAATGGGTGTGAACTTCATGATATGGGGGCCGTTTTTTTAGAAGGGTAAAGTCATTGTCGAATGGCGCTGTTTGGAAAGGCAAACAGCACATGTCCCATTACCTTACACCACTACTTTCGACTCCCGTGAAATATGAGCCGTGGATATGGGTCCTCCAAAGATGCTTTCAATCATTTACCAGGTTACTGTCAACGCGAGGTCAGCTTTTGTAGGAGTTGTGGCACCTCAATGTACAACGTGCACAAACAAGCAGCCACTTGGTCCGGTCAGTATTTTGATTGGCCATTTGCGAAAAATGGGCTGGACACTAGGCAACATTTTCATTGCGTAACACGAAGGGAGGGTTCTTTTTCCCTAGATGCTATAACCTCTTGGCAGTTTAAGATGTCCGCACGGCCGGATCGCATCTCTCCCAAGTTGCGGCAAAAAGCTGGGATGGATGATCTGGACACATTTTCGGTTACGGCCTCTACATGGCATAATGAAAACCCGGCGTTAGATGGTTTTGTAGCAAGGCTGCAATCAGGCGGCCTATTCACTAATAGGGCACAGCCAGCACTTGCTCCGTGTGCGGTGGCCAAGATCGCATGATACATCGCCTGTTTGAATGCCCGTCTACAGCTCATTTGCGCAATGGCGAGGATTGGGAAGCTTTGAAAGACCTTCCGCGTGCAACAATAACAATGAGCCTTTTTAAAGAGCCCCCTGTCTTGGAGGCATGTTTGAAACAACTGGACAATATGCAGCCACCAGACTTTCCAACACTTGCACCGAACCATCCCCGGGTCTTCATATTCACGGATGGATCACGCAGTAAGCCTGCATCTGGCAAATCAACTGAACGAAAATCGACATGGGCGTTTCGCAGAGCGTACCCGTCCGGCAACGCCAGCGAGCTGATTTGTGCGGGAATCTTACCAGGAAGAAAGCAGAGTCTTTTCAGACTGCCAAGGAGTTGTTCGAGGTCTTAGAAACTGAAAGCTGCCGGATGGTGTGAAACAACGTGGCGGTCATCCCCTGACCGTGATCTATGGCGTACGGACTGGAAGCTTTTGCAACGAAGAGGCTGTTCATTAGACATCAAACGGACGGCAGCGCATCGCAAGGTTTCGGATGCAACTGGGGCACAGGACCTATGGGAACTCGTCAATAACAGTTTGACGGACAAGGATGCCGATTTTCGGAGACATGAATGGCCAGCACATGCACAGCCAATGTATGACAACTCGATTCTTGCAAACACCCTGGATTCCGTCAGAAAGACTGCAGTGACGCGATACATTCGCTGGATCTTGGACCTACATGAGGACTGTGATGTTAGCTAGGATTTCAACTCACGAGAAAGTTTCGTGAATGTGTCACACAGACGTCGAACATATTCAGATTGCAAGTCTTTGCCCTTGGAGGGGGAAAAACCTTTAAGGCTTTAAGGGGACAACTACTTTTCACTTTGGGGGTACACCTTGGGGCGAGTAACCAATTCGAGAAACTATTTTGAAAAATTGCACGTACCTCGCAAGGCGTTACACAGGAAGAAAAAGAGAAAGAGAAAGAGAGAGCGAGAGAGAGAGAGAGAGAGAGATATGGGGCAACTTGAAACGAAGCCTGCGCAGTGGCATCCAGGCAGATGGAGTTAGCGGAATCCTTTTCTTGCAACTTGTCGTGTTGCATACTGGACATCTGCGAGGGAACTGCTACGTGAAGATAGGACAACCCTGCAACAATTCGAGCAATTCTCCGATGGCTCCAGCTCAAAGCAGGGCAGGAAACGAGCCCTCTCCCCGCGAGTGCGTAAGCGAATCTGACCTGGCCAGGGAGGCAACACTCTCACAACCCTGGAGTCCCATCTCACAGCTGTAGGTGCAGAGCGGCACGTGATGGCGGGCGCCGAACGCCGGCGACTGGGACCACCGGCCCATTGCCATGACTGCTACTGTCAACGTTGCCAGCACCATCAAGTTTACTGATGAGTGCTCTTCCGATGAACCTTGTTTATGACCTCACGTCTGCGTCGAGCATTGAGAATGTCTCTGAGCAGGTGAACTGCGCATGCCAAGATTCCGGAACTCTGCTGCCCCTTTCGCATCCTGGTAAACCAAAACCAACGCGAAACAAATTGTGGCACAGTTCTCGTTACCCATCACATCAAGAAAGACTACCAGCGAACTCTGTGAGGTGGGACAAGCGGCTTGTCAGAATAGGCAAGATTGCAGGCCTTGCAACTCCGGTGCTGCTTGCTTTGCTGCGAACTTTTTGTCCAGACCGTGGCTTGCTCCGGCCCAGTTCACCATCGGACCACCCGACAGCATTTAGCCATTGGGCCATCGTGGTAGTCCGAGCTCTTAACTAGCAATCCCCCCCGCAAGTAAAGCAACAAGTTTAAGGCCCAAATCCATGCAGCCAATGAACAGTTAATTGAAAGTTGATTAGAAGTACATGGATTTCAAATGCAGAGGCTAGCTCCTAAGCCAAAATCATCCACATTACCGCAATTTTTTTGGGGGTGCCCTAAAAATTGCTGAAGAATCCATCGCTTTTGGATTCTAATCGAATTTTCGTCCGATTTCGATGGAGTTCAATTAGATTCCCCCTTCCGAACCAGAAGCCCCCAGATTAGCAGCTTATCATTCCAGCGAGGGAGCCATCGCGGACCATTTAATCAAGAGCACGGATTAAGTTGACACAGCACGGCACATCGCCGCCTCTGTCCTTTAGACAACGATCTGCTGAGGGAGTCCCGTGCGGACTTGACCACTTGATGAAATGGCACTGCCAAACACGTCGAATTTGTGTCATCCGGGGCCCACACGCACACTGCCACAGAGAGGGCGACCATGACGGCTAACATGACGGCTACGACCATGCTTGATGTTGACAACGGAAGCTTGACGAAGGCGAATGGCAGTTGGGGGGAAGGTATGAGGGTTGATATGTTGGTGGTACTATTGCCCAACAAGGGCACGGGTTGTACTAACTCATGTCCTTAATAAAGAACAAATCCATTTGATACTCATATGCCGAATGTGGTGCAATGAAGCTGCTCTGCCCCGCAAGCCTTCTTGCTGCCTCCACATTCTTCCCCAAAAACTCGTTAACATCGTCAAGAGTTATACTTTTATCGTTCTCCCGTGCTTCCTTTAAAGTCCTGTGTCTGCTCCCATATTCCGCAAGATCATAATACACATCCTTATTAAATTCTTGTTTACTCATATAACTACAATACGAAACATTGATTTAATCGTATTTCTAGACTTAAATCAGCATTCTTCGGGTGAGAGCAGTAGAATAGAGGTTTTCTGCAAGAGGGTAGGGCTGGTTTTCGACTCGGGGTCTTAGCCTGGCTTTCTATCTGGGGGGTCCGTGTCTGTTTTCGACTTGGGGGTCCCCTGGTTCTCGACTCGGCAGCCCAGACTTGAAAGCACTTTTGCCGACTTGACAATCACTCCAGTGCAGTACAGCGCAGTGGAGCGGAGTGGAGTGGAGTGAGTGAGTGCGTGCGTGCGTGCGTGAGTGAGTAAGTGAGTGAGTGAGTGCGTGCGTCAGTGAGTGATTGAGTGAGTTTCTGGGTGAGTGAGTGAGCGAGTGAGTGAGTGAGTAGGTGAGTGAGTAAGTAGTAAGTAAGTGAGTGAGTGCGTGTGCGCGCCCGTGATACGGAAAGAACGGACCTGCTCCGGCTGGATGTAAGGGAAGAACTTCACAGGTCCGAGCTTCTTCCTTGCACAGAATGTGCCAAAGCAAGGCGATGCCGAAAATTGACAGCCGAGGCTGCGTCATGAGCAGTAGACACTCATCACCTCTCGTTGCACAACAAAACAATGAGAATCGCCAACTCTTCATGTGGAGCCACTTGCCAGCTGGAAGGCCCCGACTGGAGAAGCGGGCTCTGCAAACCTTCACGTTCCAAATGTCGGTCAGCCTGTCCATTCAAGACACAGGTGAGAAGCGGCGAGAACTGCGGAAACCCAAGTTCCGATGTTTTAAACTTGCAGACGCCAAACAGGATGCCCGTTGAAGCACGGAACTCAGTGAACGCAGCTGCCAGTGTTTGCGAGGCTGTTTCGCAGACATGTTCCATGCAATGCACATGGCCACCTAGGCCCATGTAGCTTGCATGCTCTGGTCCTTTCTTCCTCCTCGGCCCCTCATGCTTCCGATATCTTCCGACATTTAACCCCTTTGTTGATGCCATCTTCTTCCTTTGAAGCTGATCGTGCCACGAAGTCTCGAATGCGTGCTTTTTCAACCTGCTTCCTCGCCTTGCTCTGGCGCTTCATTTGGGACGGGCGTAATTCTGACTGGTCAAGAGAAGCAGCCCGTTTCCAGGGGAACGGGAAAGCACATTGAAACGGCAGGAACTGGCTCCGAGCTGATGAGCTATGATGAGCTGGTTGCTGCAACGAGTTGCAGAGTAGGATTGTGTGGCCTGAAGTAGAACACGTGGAAGGCATGCATCCTCACCTGACCGAGCAAGCAAGCAAGCAAGCAAGCAAGCAAGCAAGCAAGCAAGCAAGCCTGTGTTGGCTGCCACGCGCCCACTAAACAAAGTCGGGCCTCCGCATCATATATCACTCCCAACAGCCTGCAGCGATTCATACCTAACGGTCTGACCTCCTCGAACACCGAGCGAACTAGGCCATGAGCCGACGCAGTTGCGATGATGCGAGATATATGTACGGGGAAACAGCGCGAAGTGCCTCAAACCTTGCAGCCGATCTTACAAGGCCGAGTTCCTAGCCCGCTGAAGAATGAAGAGCTTTCTTGAACTTGGCCGCGCACTGTTGAGATGGTCGACACTTTGCTGCGAGCCTTCGCGTCTTTGACAGCTGACATGCTGTAAAATTCCCAGAACACACCTGCGAAGAAACTTGGGTGCAGCGCAGGTGTTGGAAGAACTCCTCAAAAATCGGGCCAGCCATTTCAACAGTGCCTGCAGGCTTTGACAGGAATCGAACTGCAGAATGTGCTCCACTTTACGCATACCTGCCCTGCCTGCAGCCGTCCGCGGGCCACCAGCAAAATCAAACCTTCACGGCGAAAAAACTGCAAGCTCAAACAAACACAGCTGCAAAGGCTGAGGGCGCAAACTCTAGCTTCCCACTCCTGGTTTTCAGGACAGACAGTCGTCCGTCTCTGTTCTCTACATCTCTCCACGCTGCACATGCGCATCTGAGACTCCGCACAAAGGAAGTTCCCAGTCCATGATAGACCGGAAGAGAGGCCTTCGGCCCTCATAACGCTCGTTGCGCACCTGTACCGCATCAGATGCCAGACGATTCAACGATGAGACCCCTGCCTGGGACTGATTACCACGCTGCGAGGTATCGAAGAAGCCACGACCTGGGACTGAGGGAAGAGGAAGGAACAGCGACAACAGATCTCATCAAAAGGGCAGCGAGGCAGGCGCGAATGGCAGCGGAGGCTTCCCATCTGTCAAGGATCCGCACACGCTCGGCCTCAAGCTGCAGGGTTGAGTCCGAAGCGTCTGAACATGGCATTCATGGAGACTTCATGGTCGTCTCTCTTGAGCTTGACTCCGGAAACTCCCGTGACCCTTTCGCTTTGCGCTCGGTTGAGGCACTGGCAACATGGAAGTCACACGGCTCTTCTAGGAATAGCGTGTAGTGCATCGACGGATTGCTCGGAGTGAAAGTCATCGAGAGCATCCTTAGCAACTTCAATGCTTCCAAATGAATATTTCCCAACCTCTGTGCGACGCAATCACTGCACCCAGACCATTCTGAAACCGAAGCGAGACGCAAGTGATCGCAAGTGTTCATGACATGCACTTTCAGCCTCTCTAATCAACGCAACATATTTAATCTCCGCTGTGGCACGCCCGACGCAGTATCTGCCTATACTGCGCCTGTGCAGACACTCCATGAAACTTCAATGCAAAGTTCGCACTCGGAAGGGTTGTCATCTCTGACAAAGCCTGCGTGCTCGCGAGCCGCAAGCACAACTGTCCTGGCATCGGAGAAAGTAACCCCCAATGTGTAACCAAACATGCTCAAGCGTGGCTTGAGAACGGCCGACACTTCCGCTAGCGCACGCATGCAGCAACCTCGCCAGTCGGAGAGTACAACCAAAGAGCGGGACAGACACATGTGCAAACAGAGAGAGAGAGAGAGACAACAACTCTGAAATAACATCCACATACATTCAAAAAGCGAAGTCCAATAG